CTTTGCTTTTTCGCACACGGCACACACAAACACACCCGCGCGCGTTCAACAATTGAGAGCGAGAGTGATAAACACGTTTTGTTTGGGCTTACTTTCTTATCCCAGGAATCTGTCTCCGGTTTCCCACACGGTTGTTGCCGGAGGTTTTTTTCTTCAAATTTGATTGACGGGTCAACTTGTTGTTATGTCAGCTGCACGCGATCCTTCACTGTCTGGGATGGCTTCCTTTGCTTCAAGGATTAACAATTCACTATTACAATTTTTCAATGTGCCTTTTGCTTATTTTTCTTATATTCGGTGGGATTTGTAACGACACTGACACAGCAGGCTTTGTCAACCGACAACGACGACAGACAACGAATCTGCCTTCTCAGAGCTACGGACTATCTAACAACAGGCTCGTGGCATAACAATTGGTTATTTATAATCCGGTCGACAACAGCAGTATAGACCAAGCCGGGCACGTCACATTCCTTCCAAGCAAAACACACTCACAAAAGGATAAAGAACTGTGCGCCTTTCCGTTTCCCGTGTCGTTCCTTACAAAAGCCTACTGATGCTCTTTGGCTAGCACTGGTTCTCTTCCGCCAGACAGCAGCACTAACAACAATAGCAATAACAACGTTCCGAGCAGGCGATGACAGCAAAAGCTTACCGACGCCAACTGCGACGACCAGGTTCGGGCTAGAGCAAATAGTTTTCTGGGGATGCTAAATTCCTGAACTACCAACTTGCTTCAGATGGATTTCGATTCCGAAGTTCAATTGCGCGCGCGAACATACACACACGCACGGTCCTCCTAGCCAGACCGGAGACCGGAGCTGTCGGACTGTGACGGACGCAAACGGCGAGGGTGTCACCGATAAAACTATCCGGTTGCTGCCCCCTCTCACTCACTGTTTCTATACCAATCCAACACAGATAACGCGGATTCCTGAACAGGTGGTGCCGATGACAGTGTGCCGCGGGGAGCGAGAACCGTTCTTCGTTGTTGTGTAACCGTGTTCGTTCGGCAGCTTGTAACAAACTGAATCGAAACGATACCCCGATGGAGCAGATGGTCCCACCGAGGGCTCTACCGCCACCCACATTCGATTCATAGAAAATTGAGCTACTCCGGCGGCGGTACTGGTGAGTGCCAAGCCGGGCTCTCAAACGAGTCACGTGGAACCGTGCGTTTGCGCCCAACGGATGTGGAGCGGAACTCAGACTGCTGGTCGCGGTGGTGTTTGATTCGTGCTTTCGAGGCAGTTCCGTGCTTTTGCACGTGTGTTCTGTAGGTAGGTGAGGCGTAATTTGAGTGGGACTGGTCTGTTGCAGCACGACAGGAGCTTACGCAATGTGAGCTAACGGACTATTTTTGGGGGAGTGGGCAGTGTTGCCAGGTTGGTTCGGCAACACTAGGGAAGGTTGGTCGGAAAACTAAAATTGAAGTTGTTCTTATCCTTCCGGCAGTCGCGCTTGTGTTCCATTTGGTGAATGGAAATGAAAATTTTCCATCTGTCAAATTTAAGTGAAAATTCACCAAATGGAACACATCCTCAGTACACCACGCGACTGCTGGTGAAACTTTTTTGCTTCACGGTGAACAATTACAGTTATAGTTCTTGAACTATATCAGATAGAACGATTTAGTCTTCAGCAAAGTTGTTCAACCGGACAATACCCGTCTATTAGTGGAGGACAGTTTAGTTCAGAACTGGTTCGTTAGGTGGCCCAAGAGTACCAATAAAGTTCTTCTAGTGATAACAAAGGATCGAGGCCAGATAGAAGTTTCCTTTCTTCAGCAAAGTTGTTCATAAGGACAAGACCCGTTCAGTAGTGAACAGTTTAGTTGAGAATTGACTCACTGGGTGGCAGCAGAGTACCAATAAAGTTCTTCTAGTGATAACTCAGGATCGAGACCAGCTAGAAGTTTCCTTCCTTGAGCAAAGTTGTTCATAAGGACAAGACCTATTCAGTAGTGAACAGTTTAGTTGGTAATTGACTCACTGGGTGGCGCCAGAGTACCAACAATATTCTTCTAGTGATAAGTCAGGATCGAGACCAGATAGAAGTTTCCTTTCTTCAGCAAAGCTGTTCATAAGGACAAGACCCGTTCAGTAGTGAACAGTTTAGTTGGTAATTGACTCACCGGATGGCGAAAGAGTACAAATAAATGTCTTCTAGTGATAACTCAGGATCGAGACCAGATAGAAGTTCCCTTCTATTGTGATCGTAGCAACCCAGTAATTCGCGTCGCTATATGCACTTGTTATTAGTTGCTAAGTTTCTGAATAAAATTTTCATTCCACTGTTCAACGTCAACCGATAAAGACGTGTTTCAATTACTCTCTACAATTGGTTATGGGCCCAGGATACCTAACCGGAAGACTCTAAAAATTTCAAGACCAGAAGAAGTATGTCCACAGGCGGAAGTTTAGGATCCGAACAGCAAGGTCAAGGAGATGGAGGCGCCAACGGAAACGGCAGGACTGAAGCTGGAAGCGTTCGAGTCACCAGAAGTTCCGTGGCACTGCCAGCCATTGACAAGCTAAGAGGCCGGGAGAACTACACGACGTGGGCATTTGCGATGCGGATGATCCTAATCCGTGAAGGAAGCTGGTCTGCCATCGACGGAGACGGAGAAGGTGTTCCTGAGGATTTGAAGTTGCAGGCTCTGGCTACGATTTGCTTAAGCCTCGAGAGCTACAATTACAGTCTGGTGCAGGATGCGGTTACAGCAAAGGAAGCCTGGACGAAGCTGCAATCTGCATTCCAGGACAGTGGACTAACCAGGAAGATTGGACTGCTCAGAAAATTTACGTCGGTACGGCTGATCAACTGTGCTAGCGTTGAGGCGTACGTGGACGAATTAATGAGCACAAGCCACAAGCTTGCATCCGTGGGCTTTAAGGTGGACGATTCCTGGCTCGCGGCGATGTTGCTGATGGGTCTTCCGGATCAGTACGAGCCCATGATAATGGGACTCGAAGCCTCTGGAGCGGCTTTGACAGCGGATGCAGTGAAATCCAAAATTCTACAGGACGTTAAGCTGGATCGTGGTCCGCTCAGCAGCGGCGCGGAAGGTGCCCTGTACAGTAAAGCGAACCGGAAGAAGTCAAGCGAATCCAAGGACGGTAGCAAAGGCGAAAAGTTATGTTACACCTGCAAGAAGCCGGGTCATTTTGCTGCCAAGTGTCCGGAGAAGCAGCAGCAAGCGAAGGCGAGCAAACACAAGGGTCTCTGTTCCATTTTTGCCATGGGAGACGTCAGCACCAGTGAATGGTATTTCGATTCGGGTGCCACTTGCCACATGGCACGGCCGGATCAGAAATTTCTCGATGAAGTCAAGATGGACCACAACGTCGGAACGGTGAACAATGCCACTATGAAGGTTGTAGCGAAGGGTTCAGTCGTGTTGGACAGCAACGATGGTCGAATCGATGTCAGCGGTGTTCTGAAGATTCCCGACCTAGCCACCAACTTGTTATCCGTAAGTACGATCTGCAAAAAGGGCAAAACTGTTATTTTCACCAAAGACAGATGCGAAGTTCGGGACGAAGACGGTGATCTGGTTGTCACCGGCGTCGAGGAAGGTGGCCTCTACAGAGTCAATTGGCCAGAGAAGTCGTTTTTGGCAAGCGGCATCGAGCTCTGGCATCGACGTCTGGGGCATCTTCACGAAGGTGGTTTGAAGAAGCTCAAGCGAATCGCCAACGGAATAGATTTCCAAGATGGGTCGTTAGAAGGATGTGTTGCCTGTCTGGAGGGCAAGCATACGAGGCGTTCATTCCCAAGCAGCGAGTCAAGAGCTGAAGAACTGTTGGAGTTGGTACACTCCGACCTCTGCGGACCAGTGGAGATTTCGTCGTTGGGTGGAAGCCGTTATTTCATGACGTTCCTGGACGATGCAAGCAAGCGGTTGGTGGTTTACTTCTTGAAGCAGAAAAATCAAGCACTCGAAGCGTTCAAGTCGTTCAAGGCCAAAGCGGAAAGGCAGACGGGCAAGAAGCTAAAAATCTTGCGTTCAGACAACGGAAAGGAGTACGTGAATGCAGATTTCCGGAAGGTGTTGGAGTCCGATGGGATTCGACATCAAACCACGTGCCCGTATACGCCTGAGCAGAACGGGGCGGCAGAGCGCATGAACCACACGCTGGTTGAAAAGGCGCGGTGCATGCTCAACGATGCGAAGCTGGGAAAAGAGTTTTGGGCAGAAGCTATTTCGACCGCGGCTCACGTGGTGAATCGATGTCCTACTCGTTCCCTGGAAGAGAAAACGCCGGAAGAGGCGTGGACCGGAAAGAAGCCGAATTTGAAGCACCTCAAGATTTTTGGCTCGAGCGTGATGACTCTGGTACCAAAAGCGAAAAGGAAGAAGTTTGATCCCAAATCCGAGAAAGGCATTTTCGTCGGCTATTGTGAAGACACGAAAGGTTACCGGGTGTATGATCCAGAGAATGACCGTTTCCACGTTAACCGAGATGTCATGGTACTGGAAGAAGGCGTCGCTATCTGTATGGCAGAACAACGAGTGCAGCCGGTGGAGTTCATGGAGCTTTGTTCGGATGAAATCCATGATCGTCCTGAGTCCGGTGCAGCTGATACTCCTGAAGATGGTCAACACGCTGTGCTTCCTCTAGGCGAACAACCGAATGGCATCGTCGTACCTGGTGCAGCCGGGCCTGCTGTTGTTATCGATCAACCGGGTGGCAATCCTGGTGAAACCGAAACAACGGAGGAAGACATCGTCGTTGTCGACAGTTCGTCCAGTGAGGCAGACGAATTCGAGGATGCCTGTGCCGATTTTGCACTCCCACCGCAACTGATTAGACCAGCTGAGTTGCAGCAAGGGTTAAGGCGCAGCGGTCGGGAGCGCCGTAATCCAGGCAAGTATAATGACTTTATTAGTAACGGTTCCTTTTCTGGTGGTGTTCATTACCATCAGTTATCCTTCAACACGACGAGCGACGATGATACGATGGATGATCCGACGAGCTACGAAGACGAAATCTGAAATGGAAGAAATGAAGTCAGTGCCATACAAGGAAGCAGTCGGGTGTTTGTCGTTTGCAGCTCAAGTCACCCGACCGGATATTGCTTTTGCCGTCAACGTTGTGAGCCAGTACAGTGCCAACCCTGGCCGTCCTCACTGGGAAGCGGTGAAGAGGATAATCCGGTACCTGAAAGGTACAATAACCAAGAAGCTAGAGTACTCGACAAGCGGTCCAGCGGACATAGTTGGGTACAGCGATGCCGATTGGGGAGGAGATGCGGACGACCGGAAATCCACAACCGGTTATGTGTTCATGATGCAGGGAGGTGCGATCTCGTGGAACGTCAAGAAGCAGCCTACCGTAGCCCTTTCGTCCTGTGAAGCGGAATACATGGCCATGTCTCGCACGATCCAGGAAGCTATGTGGTGGAGTAATCTGCAGTCGCAGTTTTGCGAGGCCAAACCGATTTCCGTGTGCTGCGATAATCAATCGGCAATCAGCATCGCCAACAACGGTTCGTATAACCCCCGGACCAAGCACGTCAGTATACGGTACCATTTCGTGCATGATAGCCTGCAGCATGGTGTCGTCCAACTGAGCTACACGTCGACAACGGAACAGCCAGCCGATGGGTTCACGAAGCCGATGACCGTTCAGAAGCAGCAGAAGTTTCGGAAGCTAACTGGCGTCGTGGATTAGGGAGGAGTATTGTGATCGTAGCAACCCAGTAATTCGCGTCGCTATATGCACTTGTTATTAGTTGCTAAGTTTCTGAATAAAATTTTCATTCCACTGTTCAACGTCAACCGACGTGTTTCAATTACTCTCTACAATTCCTTCCTTGAGCAAAGTTGTTCATAAGGACAAGACCCGTACAGTAGTGAACAGTTTAGTTGGCAATTGACTCACTGGGTGGCGGCAGAGTACCAATAAAGTTCTTCTAGTGATAACTCAGGATCGAGACCAGATAGAAGTTTCCTTTCTTCAGCAAAGTTGTTCATAAGGACAAGACCCGTTCAGTAGTGAACAATTTAGTTGAGCATTGACTCACTAGGTGGTGCCAGCGTACCAATAAAGATCTTCTAGTGATAACTCAGGATCGAGACCAGATAGAAGTTTCCTTCCTTCAGCAAAGTTGTTCATAAGGACAAGACCCATTCAGTAGTGAACAGTTTAGTTGGCAATTGACTCACTGGGTGGTGCCATCGTACCAATAAAGATCTTCTAGTGATAACTCAGGATCGAGACCAGATAGAAGTTTCCTTCCTTCAGCAAAGTTGTTCATAAGGACAAGACCCATTCAGTAGTGAACAGTTTAGTTGGAATTGAGTCACTAGGTGGTGCCAGCGTACCAATTAAGTTCTTCTAGTGATAATTCAGGATCGAACCAGATAGAGGTTTCCTTCCTTCAGCACAGTTATTCATAAGGACAAGGCCCGTTCAGTAGTGAACGGTTTAGTTGGGAATTGACAGAATTGTCCAAAAAGGTTTGCAAAACGCTTTTACATCGCATCAAACTTCTCAGGTGAGTGTGACTATTGTCGACAACCTCTTTTTCTTCGGCAACCATTCCACTTAAACTGCGTTTTAACCAGCTGTTCTATTATCGACAACTCGAAATCAGCCGTATTTTGTAGTGCGTATATTTCATTTGAAGAAAAAACCTGGAATAACAGGTTTACTCAGTCGTCAAAATGTAATCCGATTGAAGCTGAAAGACTAAGGATTCGTTGATCTACATTCAGCCAAGTGGTTTGATGAGAAAATACCTACAGCGAAATTAACGTTTAAATTTTGGTTACCGAAAACAGTCAATGGGTGCTCAATTCCTCGTGGACTTTTTTCGGATTTCATTGTTATGCTCTTCCTTATCTCTTGTTATGATTCTAAGGAATTTAGATTCTTTCACATCTTCATTTGAGTAATTTGGAGTTCCTGTATGACAGAGAATGGCCCTTGGAATACTAGAATTCCATTTTATTTTCTAAAGAATTACACTTGAAGTTCTTTGTTATCTCACTTGGGATTCTCTAGAATTCCTCTTTGGTTCTCCAGACTAACTTTGGTGATTCACCGAACACCTTCCGGGACTGATTGGTCAACTTATATTTGGCCTCTGCAATCCCTTGCGCCATATTTGATTCCTAATCGGCAGCGACATCCACACGTCGTCTTCGTTCCGAAAATACGCATTGTGATGGGTATATGACAGTAATTTCTAAAATCGATGGCTGACAGCTTGGACTCCAAAATGGTGTCCGTTATCATCAATTTCCGTCCACTACACGTTATCCCCGTTCGGAAAATACACATATTGTAAGGTATTTTACAGTACTTCTAAACCTAATGGTCACCATCTTGGATTCCAAAATACATCATATATACAACTTTGCTGAAGACAATAACCTTCCATATGGTCTCGATCTCGAGATACAGCTTATATAGGCAGTTCATGTGCATACTAGGACCACGTAGTGTGAGAGTTCTGAACTAATATGGCTACCATCCGGAAAGACTTGGTCACCTGAACCTATCTATCTATCTAAAAGCAGAATTAGTGTATTGAAACTGATATCAAGATAGGCTTTACCCCTCTCCTCCTTAGATGGTTGGGGAACTCACTTAGGGAGAACGGTTTAGGAGCCGCGAGACCCTATTCCAAGCATGCGGTAAGCAAGGACTCACAATGCTCATATTTTTTGCAGTATGATGCTTTGAATAGATTTCTAAAAATAATCCTTTAAAAAACCCCAGTATTTGGAATAGAGTCTCGGGGGTTCCATAACCATTCTCCACCCTAATTTGTAAAAACCCGTCAGCTTAAATAAGCTAGAGAAGAATCTCCATGCAGCAAAGGTTTCCCATGTACAAATAAGCTTCCAACCTTGGTCCAGCTAATAATTCCACTTTCAATTCTCTTTCCGGGAAAATCCCATGCAATGACGACTCAGTGCCAACTTTCCTCATCCCCAGCAGTAGCAGCAGCAGGAAGAAGCCAAAAAGCAATGTTCTAATCTTCCCACAGTCACTTGCTGCTCCGACCATGACCACATTTCCATGCATCTCCAGAACCAGATCCAACGGGGGCAGAGAAAGAGCATAATGTAATCCGCTCGACATACATGACCAAAGCTCCATCCTACTACCTTCCTCCAAGCTCCAGCTCCAACTCCAGCTTTGCTCCAAGCGCCCTGCACGGAGAGTGGAACTTTGCCGATTACATATTAGCTCCAAGCGACAGCAAATGAAATGAGATATTGAAGCCAACCGCAGTCCACTTCGACCACCACGTGACCGCATATCTCCGCGTCCATCCATCCGTTCCGAGAATGGATGCACGGCTTGCGCTGAATGCTGAAACCTATTGCAATATGTGTCGTTCACGTGCTAGAGGACACAAACATTCACTCTTTATTGTATTCTCCCCGTCTGGAGTATGGATCGGAATCCCGCAAAATGGGGCTTGAAATCTCCCACTCGGATCAAGTGCCGGGGCTCTGTTATCAACAAGCAACTCACCCCTCCATCTTCGTGCATTGATTCCATCGCATGAATGAATGAGTGGAGGATTTTTCTTCATGCGAAGTGGAATTAAAGTGCCACCTCACGACTCTCCGCTCGGCTCTGTCTGCCAGAGAAGTGCCTGCTTGTGATGATGGATAAAAATATGGGAAAATCGATTTGAATCTACCTTCCGAATGGTCCGGATGGTGCGTTTCTCCTCCTGCCATAGAAGTAGGCCAGCGGAAGATACAAATTACTTGGTTATTATTTTTAGACTGGTTGCTTTGTTCCAGGGATGTAGTTAGGATGACTCACTCGATCCGTGTGAGTGCTTAACGATTGTTATCATGATAAATTCGCCCGGGAATTCAATTCATTCATAACAAAGGTTAGCCATAACGCACAATCCACGTCGTAAATCCTGGAAAAGTTCCCTCTTTGATCAAGCGACGAAGCAACTTTCGCAGAACAAAACTGTTACTTCCTTTTGTTTTAAACCACTTTCCGCATATTCTACACCGTTCCCATCCGGACACACAAGCCGACGCATCCATTCCACCGCACAAGGCTCTTTTGAATATGCAAAACCCATCGTCTCCGCCTCCAACGTCTCCACGTGCCACCACCTCTAGCCTACCAGGAATGCGCCTGGAAAAACGAAACATGTTACATAACTTTACAACAAGCGCACGTTTTCCGCTTGTATCTCGTTCGTTTGTTGTGTGGAGAGCCGTAGAGGCATAAACCCGGCATTCAATTTCCCAACTTGGAACTCTTGGAAGCTAGGTGATGGGAGGATGTATTTCCGCTTTTATTTTCGTCGGCCGTTCGGTCTCGGAGAAGGTGGAGCTCGTCCTCGCCCATCACATCACCATCATCTTCATCGTCACTCCTCGAATGCACGCAATCACGTAGGCATTGAATGTCTTACATGTGCGGCACCTTCAAAAGCCTCCTACGGGTTGCTACGTTACGCATTCTTAAGGCAACATTTTCTAGCTAGCCGGTGCTGGTCGCGTGCAGTAGTCATCGGCGTCGTCGTCGTTTGGGGGGAAATTTTAATCAGTATAAAACCTGAAACGGGTGCGTTTGGGGAAATTCGGGTCAATATCATCATCAAAGGTCGCAGTCCACGCGGTGGTTATCGGTTCATGGGGCATTGGTTGATAGTGAACGGCAGGGTGAACGAAAGGAGTCTATTTATAGAGATCATGGTACTCGTTTTTTGTTGGCTGTTGCCGTGGCGATTTGGATGATTGTCTCTAACATAAGCCGACCTTACGGCTGTGAAACAGTACAGAAACGGTGAATTTTTTAATTATGCAGATTCGAAGAATGTATATACATGAATTCTTTGGCATTAAATATATGATCTTAAACGGACGCTTTAACTTTTGAACAGATGATAGGTTGATAAATTATGAAGTTGTTTTATGGAATTTACATGAATATTTGGTATTACGGATGGTTCTCTGAGTGTCCTGCACACTTAGAAAAATTCATCTAAATTTAGGTGCTCTGAGAGTGACATATACGAGCGTCAATTTTTACATAAATTTGAGTCAAAACAAACGCGAAATATAGCTTAATCAAACGTAGTTTTCGTCGAGCAACGAACTTTTCAGTCTCAGAACACTTAATATTACATGACATGTTAGTTTACGTATAATCTTTTATGTCAAATATAGATTCCGTAACGTGTAAATCTAGTAATTTATAAGTGTTTGTATAGAAAACACGGTTCTAGCGTAAACGAGAATAAGCACACTATTAAAAATGTAATGTAATGTAAATTTAGGTGCTCTGAGACTGAGGTATACAAGCGTCAATTCCAGAACAACATGTGAAAAGGGCATACAAACTTTTTGTAAACAAACCTTTGTATGCCCTTTTCTCACCAACCGAGGGTCGCCCACGCAAACCAGCAATATCATCGGGAAGGGGAAAGTGTCCCCTACCCGGTGATGTTAAAGGTTTATGTTGGTGTCATATGGGTGGCGAGAAAAGGGCATAAGAAGGTTTGTTTACAAAAAGCTTGTATGCCCTTTTCACATGTTGTTCGGGAGTTAAGATAATAAAGAGAGATAAAGTTTTTTAAACCCAACAAACGTTTCAAGGCCTTAAGCTTGTTTAGTTCACTAGACTTGAAGTGAACTAAATAAAAATCATTAGAAATCCCGTTGCGCGAATCGCCA